TTTTTCGTCATAATCTCTTTTCGTACCCTTGTTACAGAAATTTTGGATTTAATATAAGCTGTTCATTGGCATATTCCTCACAGACTTATCTTTTATTTGAGAGGATGAATAATTAATATTTGAATTTTTCAACAAAATTTATACTAACCATTTGTATTCCACTCCTTGTGACTATTTGATTTATCATTATATGAAGTACTTTAAAAAATCGAAAATTAGTAGGTCAAAAAACTTTTTCAAGTCCATTAACCTTAAATCTCTGCTTTTAAAATATTACTCTGGGGAGTTTTTATTCTGCTCTCTTACCTTCAGCTTCAAGTTTGCACTTTCTGTTAAAAATATTTCTCATGAATTCTCCATGTCTTTCCAAAACACACCCTCGATTCTGAAGTGAGGGTGTGTTTTTACATCATTAAAATTATATCTAAGTGCAATTGTGCATCACTGTTGCTTCTTTAAAGTCTTTACAGTGCACAGATACTATTCAGGTAGAACTGTGCTCCGGGATCTGTAGAGATCTAATGGTTGTGCCAAGTCAGAGAAAGGAAAACAAAGCCAAACACTCTTCACTGGAGTTAGTAAGACCATTTTTCTTGCACAAAGAGCAAGGGAGATCCTGAAACATATAGTCAATATCCCACTATAGTGTATTAGTAGAGGAGCTTCTGCAGGTCATTCTTGTTAAGAGTGAAGTGTGTATGCAGTGCTGCTGGTGATATTTTGTTATGTGAGCTATTGGAAATAATAACCTACTGTGTAATATAGAAAAATGACAATGCTTTGTAAGTGCTTTCATGCTGTTTCCTAGTGACAACTTTTGGTCAGGGTTAAATGGACTCATTAGGTTCCATTAAGATAATTGTAAATCTGAAATTTCAGTGATTTTGACAGAAATTTTTTTTCAGGAACTCTGGACTGAGTTTTCATACTCGGGAATGTTTAAGAATTATCTTAATCCACACCATTGTTGAAAAAACGTGTACGTATGCATTTATAAAAGAATGAAGGGTGTGCCTCTGTTTTAGGTCAGTTTACTGAGTCAATATGTGTGTCTTCTGGTTCTTCAACAATTAGCAGCAGCAAAAGGGCTTTCTCTGCATTTTTTTCTGATAGTTTGTCTGCAGCAACAGGAATGAGATATTGCAAAACAGTGGCAGGAGGTGGAAATACCAGTGATAATTCAGTGGAATATAATTTTCTTTAAACATTTTTATTAATATTTATTATGAATATTTATGCTTAGGTAATTAATTGCAAATACATTGAGTGGATTTTAAAGTGAATGATAGCACCATTTTAAGAACATTATTTTCACCTGTAGTTTTGCAGAATTCTCCAACCACTATTTGCTTTAGAAAGTGCTACCTAGAGAACAAACGAAAGAAACCACCCTAAAATTTCCACACATAGTTTGGGGCACAAAAACAATTGGTCCAGATTTCCAGTGCATAAATGTCCAGCAGTTTCAGTTAAAGTAAGTGTAAAGACTGATCTGGCAGGAATTTCAGTAGATTACTAAAAGTTATAATTTCTTTGAGTACCTCTTCCCTCCACTTTAAACCAAAATACTGTGTATAAAAGGTTTTTTAAAGGCTTGAAGATTTTCCTTTGCTATTATTCTTCAGAACAGAAATTTTCTCATTCAGCAAGACCTGATGAGCACTGTTCTCCTACGGAGTATGCCATAGGCAACTTTCTTCTTCCAAAATTGCTGCTACCTCATATTGCTGTCTGTGGGATCAAAGCCACAGTCACCCTCAGCAAAGATGCACTTCTGCAAAATGACTAATGCTTCCCATTGTTTCCAATATAAGTGGGTCTGCTCTTAGATAGAATAATTGTTCCTGAAGCACAGAAAACAGCAAAAAAAACTTTAGCTAGGTCAACAGTGACTATCTCAGAAATGCAGGATTAAGGTGTTAAATTGTCTTTAAAAATTAGTTTTATTTAATCTAAAATTGCATATATTGCCATATGAGAATTATATGGAGTTGCAAGATATTTAAAACTAAAAAATTGTGGGAGATGTGAATGAGTGCAGTGATATATTTAATTCTTGGATATATATTTTTTTATTTTCAGTGGTTCTAACAGACTCGTATTGGTTTTACCTTTCATCATAATTTTACCTTATGTTTTCCATTGTCTATTGTTTAATACAGTACTTCTCAATTTTTAAAAAAGAATAATAGGACACATAAATATGCAGGACAGCAAATTAGTTGCCAGTTTTAATTATTCAGAAATGTAAGGAATACATTATTATATTGTAGTAATATATTCTATACTCATTACAATTAGTATCAAATACAACCCAAATGTAGCTCACTGACACGAATTAGTTATTATAAGTGAAATGAGGAGAACTTAACCCATTTTTTGTTTTATTAATGGATATTTTGTATATTTGTCATTTGAGTCAGTAATATCTGTAGTTTTTCAGTTACTGCTGTCTTAGGAGTGTTTTGGAACTTAAAGTTAGTTACTGACAGTAGCTTTTTCTTTTTCAACTTTTTTCAAGACTTACTGTATACCTGACAAATTCTAAGAACACAAAGCAGAGCAATCATTGCCCAAAATCATCAAGTAGTTAATAGCAATGTTTATTAAGGGGGAAATGCAATACAGTAGAATATTACACATTTTTGTAGGTATGTATTACTGCACTCAATTCTGAAAATAGAGTGCAGCTGTTTGATCTCTTGACATCAAACTGGGTGTTGCTGGAAGCAGAAGTGCAAGTAGAACATTTTGATGTAGTTTTCTTCTATTTCATCCTTTTTCATGCCATTTGTTAGCTTAAACAGGGAGAATACATTTTTTAAAATGTCAGCTACGAAATTAAAGTCATATATTATTTTAAAAGAGCAAGACAGAAAGGATTTTTTTTCATTTAGCAGGACATTTTACTTGTGAAACTTGTATTGAAACTTCTATAAAAGCATGTACAGTAATCTCAAAAAAGGAATGTGACATATGATCACAAAAGAAGAAATGTAAAAGTTCTAAAAGCAAGGAGTTAAAGGAGTGCTTGTCTTCCCTGTCATTCTCATTAGCACAACTTAATGGACTTCAATGAACTATTCCTTGGTTTTCAGTGATGAAAGATCAGAATTATCTCCTGTTTACTTTCTTTGTTCACATTGGTATTTTTTATTATTTTAATAACACAGCAGCATTAAGATAACTGGCAAAAAATACAGCCTGTATATTTTATACAGCCATAAAATAGTACAACATCTGTAATTTGTGACTTTTTTTTGTACTATTACAGTAAAAGAATAACCATGAAATTTCAAAATTAATTCACCAAGGATATTTAAATCCTTGGTTTATAGATTGGGAGGGAAAGGGAAGCCCCAGGACAAGAAGCAGTGTTGTCTTTCCTGTGCTGGGGTAATTTAATAATCAGCCCAAAGAAAGAGCAGAGGACTAAAGAGCATAACACTGGTTAATTAAAAAAAAATACTATTTTCAAAAAAGACTCATACAACTTAGCAGAACAGAACTAGGAAGCAAGAGTAAGCAAATGCTATTAAATGGCAAGGAAGCTATTTCAACCATAAAGAAGCCCTTGAAACTTGTGAAGCTGACCCTGCTAAAACCAGTAGCTAGAAACATAATTTACAGCACACAGAAGGTAAAAGAACTGAAGCATTAGAGTAGGTCTCTACGGTGAAACTTAGCTAAAATCAGTGCATGTGATATAGGATATTTTTGAAAGAGTAAATGGATCAACAGTAATGATATAGAGTTATTAAGACAGAAAATAATGTTGCTGAGAGACTGAACAGATGTGTAAGTATTAAGAAAGGACTAAGTCATTACACCTAGGTGGTACATCTTCAGGAATTTTGAGGCAGGTTATCTATCAAAGAATCAAGCTCCTGACAAAATCTCTTCTTCAAAGTAGTCATAGCAGACTGGTGGATAGAAAATGCTGTACCATAATGTAACAAATTTCTCAAGCTTCTTGAAATAATCAGGATTTCAGACAGGGTTTTTTACCTTTATCCTTGCTCAGCTGAGTAAACCAGTAAGCAAAACGGAACACTAATACTTGGAAGATCACATTAGGAAAAATTTGCTTGAGTTCTTGCAAGGAAAGATATATTCCACTAGTCTCTTAGATATATTTGAACGTGAAAGTACAGGACCAGATGACATAGTGTTTGAATACTCTTTCTGAAAAGACCTCTTTAAAGCAGATTGTTTGCAAAACTGTATATAAATTCTAGATGTGGGTTTCTCCTGGAGAAGCGAGTGTTCCTGTTAATTTAATCAGAGAAGTGTTAAGAATAATGTTTAAAAACTTTGCATATTGAAGCACATCAGATGTGTTGATTCATGGACTCTGAAGGCGTAACTATCTCTTGAGAGCGTGATCTTTCTATACAAGACCTTGCTAGAGAAAAGAGCAAATTTTTCTGGGGGGTGCAGTGAAGCATACAACACAAAAGTGAAATCCCCAAGTAAAAGTACAGGTTCCAATGTAGGGCAGGTGCCATACATTGATAAACTTCAGGCCCATTAAGAAAATCATTCCAGACTAAGAGAACATACACAGGGTGATTTCCATGCACACCTTAAGAAAGGATAGTCTATTAGGGTGATGGCCGTGGTTTCGGGTCAGGGCCGCCTCCAGAACTGTAACAGATGCTCTCTGTTAATCCCCTCCCCCCACAAGGGAAAGACAAAGGGAATAAAGGAGAGACTTGTGAATTAGAAAACAGATTTAATACTACCACTAATAATAATAGGGATAATAAAATAGAATATGTACAAATCTATATAAAATCAGTATGGAACCCAACTCTCCCCCTGATGGCAATACGTCACCGTCACCCCCAGCTGGGGAGGAGCCCTGGGGAAAAGTCCCGGGCTGGATTCAGCTGCAGAAGGTCTGTACCATGCAACTGGGCACAGGAGCTGGATTCTGGAACTTAGTTCAGGAACACATGGCTCAGGATCAAAGGCAGAACGGGTGAAGTCCTTCTCAGATGCCGGTCACTGCAGGAGCAGCAGAAGCAAGCGAGAAGGCAGAAGGGGTGACGGAAGGGCTTGGCCCTCCTGATCCTTCAGCTTTTTCTGGGTGTGATGGCTATGGGATGGAATATCCCATTGGTGAGTCTTGGGGTCAGTTATTCTTATGACCTTATTGTGGCCTTCCATTATCTTAGGGGGGCCTACAAGAAAGCTGAGGAGGGACTTTTTAAGATATGGAGTAACGACAGGACTAGGGGGAATGGGGCAAAGCTGGAAGTGGGCAGATTCAGGCTGGATGTGAGGAAGAAGTTCTTCCCCATGAGAGTGGTGAGCCCCTGGAATGGGTTGCCCAGGGAGGTGGTTGAGGCCCCATCCCTGGGGGTCTTTAAGGCCAGGCTGGAGGAGGCTCTGGGCAGCCTGATCTAGTGGGAGGTGTCCCTGCTCATGGCAGAGGGGTTGGAACTGGGGGATCCTTGTGGTCCCTTCCAACGCTGACAGATTCTGATCTGTTTTGGCAGAGGACTTTAGAGCCCTAATGGCTCAATGGTTGGACTTGATGATCTTGGAGGTCCCTTCCAACCTGAAGGATTCTATGATTCTGTTCTGCCCGCTCCTCCCCCCAGGTGCGGTATACACTCTGCCCCCCTCTGTGTGGGATCCAAACTTAGCAGTGGCCTTGGTCTGCACACCAATCCCTGGCAGTAACTCTAAACATGAAGTGATAATTCCTGTAGAAGTAGGCAGGTTCAGACAAGGCAGTTAATTAGAAGAGCTTTTGCTAAAAAGTAAAATCACTGAACAGAATCAGCTCTGCTCTACCCCAAACCAGGACAGGGATCATGTCCCAAAAGAGCATTGTGTTCACAGGGTCCAAATTCTAAGTAGTTTAAAGCTGAACTGAATCCAAACAGTTTGTCGTTATTTATTTTAATTGTAAGGGTTTGTATAGTCCAACACTATTAGAACTTAGGTGCTGAGGTTTGAGATCTAATGATTTTTGGGTTTCCATTATAGTCAGTGGAAAAAGTAACCGTTTCCAGAGAGTAATCAAAAAAAAGCTGTCTTAGATATCTTCTCTGAGTACTTCTTTCTCCATGGATTATCTAGGAAACCAACACTAAAAAAAATTCCTAAAATTGCTGCTTAAGTAATGTGGCTAAATTTAGAGTGTAGAACCACTCTCCAATACTTGAGCATATAGTAAGAAATACCACCATGAAGAGCAACAAGTGAAAAAGAGAAAGGAGGTGAGGCATAATCCACCATAAAGCAGTGAAATTACTTTTTGCAGGCAATGCAGGAAGTCTATATTTATTCTGGGAGTAGAATGTAGATTGGCACCCTGAACTGCATGAAAAGACCTGAGAATGACAAGCTCTGCCTTTCATATGGGTGAAAATGGGGAAGGTAAAGTGCAAGTGATTGCTCATGATCATGTGGCCAGTGTGTAGATGATTCAAGAACTATACTAGATTTTCTTACATTCCCAGGTCATATTTGCCGTTCTACTTTGACTTCAGTGCAAATTTATCTAGGACTTAGGCTTTACTCTTGCTCTATTAAATTGATGGCTCTCTGATGGAGCAATCTAGGGTTGTTGTGAACTGCTAAATAGGAATCTCAGAATTTGGTTGTATGCTTTTTTGTAAAGCAAGGTTTGTCATAGTCTTATGAGAAAGGACATGTCAAATTCAGGAGCAGCCATTTCTCATATTGCAGAAAAGTAGGAGTCTCTTCTACTGTATTCTGTCTATTCATGGAGTACTTAATGTGAAGATGTTCTTCCTCTGAACCTGCAGAAGTCAGCGCAGTCTGATGCATGGCATGGGACCATCTTATATACCATACATCATTATGAACACTATCAATGGATTGAAAAACCTCTTTGTCCTACCTGGTTTAGATGGTTTCATTTTTTTTATTCATATATATAAGTAAATTCAGAATTTTTTTTGGCTCAAGACAATGTGTTGTTGATTGTAAATGCATGTATATAATTTCAAAACTGAGCTACAGTGCTGGATATAATGAAGTAAATTCACATGTAGTTTCACTGGAAATAGTTCTCTAACATATGTGTAGGTGAGGATCCCTTTACTATAACACTATAGCTTGTTGCATTACTGTTTTTCCAGGCCTTTACAGATAATTCCGTGTAGTATTCACTTTCTTGTTCAGCTGCATTCCTTTCTAAAATTACTAATTGTCATTTCCTTTTAAGCTTTTTCAGACAAGTATAGTATTGGAATAATGCATACTGTGCTCCATTGCTTTGGAATATTGAATACCAAAAATAAAAATAAAAGGTCCAGAGAGATAGGAAAACAAAGAAAAAAAAAATTTTTTTTTTTTCTACCTTTGAAATCCTTTCTGCTAATTTTAGCCATTATTTTAATTTGTGTTTTGCTTGTTATGTCATCTTCATTGCATTCAGTGCAGATGGAGTAAAGCAAAATGATTTTTCTAGTTCTTGCCATGAGGTGTATCAGAATGAAGGGTAGGTGACTCATCTAATTTGCACAGTGACACAAAATTCAGAAGAGGTTGGTTTAGTATAACATCTTTATTTTTATCTCTGCCTTAGTATAAGGAGCTCTTATATAGGCAATAGTAAAGAAATACTCTATTTATTTTAATATATGTGTATGTGTGTATTTGCACATGTAGTATGGAGTCCTGAATCATACTGATATTTATTTTCATTTAAGTAATGTTAATAATTCTGCCTTTCAATTTAGGAAACATACAACTTAGAAGCAGAATGAATTTAAGCCAACTAATAAGCCTCAGAGTATATTGTATTGTCATAATGTGTCCCTAAATTTAATATTTACTTTTAAAAAAAAACTTTTAAACTTATTTAAGCAAAGACACAAGTAATTGGAAAAAATGAAAGTACATAGTAAAGATCCATGGCCAAATCAGTGGCATTTTGCTGGCATATTAGTGAAACTGTTCAGTGGTGTACAGTTCAGTGGTGTCCATTAGTGCTCAATGCAATCACATGTCAAGGCATGTACAATTTCCTGGATGTTGTATCAGAATTGCTTGTTGTATAAATACAGAAGTCAGGTAGCTCAGTAGTCCATTAGTCTGTCAGTAATTCGTATCTTTGTCATTAATGCTATGCTAGTTTCAGTTTTTACTTTCAATTGATGGAGCTCAATGTTGCAGTCACATAAAAATAAGACTTATAGTTTCTTCTGTAAAATTTTGTAGGTAGACGAGAGAATCAGTTGTCACGTAGTAAAACATGGTTTGCAAGCAATGGAGAAGTATCATTTTAATTGCAATCCAGGCTTGTAAATTCTTAGACAAATAATCTATATAAAGTTGATAGAGAATGCTTGTTATCATCTTTAAAATGGTTCTTCTGTAGTCTTTGTGTTGCTACTGAAATGATAGTGGCCTTTAAGGTGATGTTAGCAGAATGTTTTCTCTTAATGACTATAGTCAGATCTTTTATGGCAACCACCCATTTATCTTTCAATTATGTTTCAATGCTAATATTTTTGTGCAGGAATCCAAATTATATTGCAAACCTTGAAACAAGATTTTGCTAATAATTTTTAAAATATTTGCAGAGCTCTTAATTTTACATTTGTATGTGGTAACTCTTGAGAATTCGATATTCAAATCCAACCTTGATTTAACTTAAGTTCTCTGGTAATTGCAATTGGAAAATTTGACTTAGAGAAGTTGGTGGCCATGCAAAGGGTCAGCTTGTAGAAAGCTGGGCTTCTCTGCACAGCAGATAAAACTTTCCTATCCACAAATATGCCAAAGGTACTAGGCTTGTATGTTATTTAGATTGCTAAAGGGAAGGGCCAATGCAAGATTTTCCTGTGTGTGATGATCTTGCATTTGAAAGAAGAACTCTTTCAACTCTCTGAAAGACTCAAGAGCTCTGTGAAACACCGTCGGAATTTTCTCCTTGGCACCAAGGAACAGGCTCTAGTACTAGCTGTACTCTGACATATTTCAGCAACAGGCTGTGGGTCAGGTATCCAGAGCAGAATACTAGTGTTTCCATGGATTTCAATCCTCTAGCACGCCTAATCAATCAGATTTGAAAATATAATCAAGAAATGCAATATATTCTCCTTCTTATGTTATTGTATTCTTCCTTTCTCTTCTTTTCTGCATTTGAAACCAGCCGGGACCACCTCTGTGATTGATCAGTTGATATTCAAGGCTTGACACATAAGCACCCTCATCTTTTCAATTTCCTTTCTCCTCTAAAGACCTGTCCCTCTGATCTCCCTTTCTCCTCCTCTCCCTCCTGCGTTAGTTCAAGCAATATTGTTGGCCAGAACAATATTAGCTGAACCATTTAGACACCCTTTCCACACACAATGGGACTTGTCTGGGCTGTGCCACTCCTTCCCTGCAGAGGATCCAACACTTTCTGTTGGGAGATGGTGAATCAAAAGACAAAGCAGATCTCTGCTAGCCAGCGTGTGCCACAGCAGAGCCGAGTCTGGATCTCTGACTTTGGTTACAGGCGTCTTCACCCCAGACATGCACTGTTTCCCATCTGTATTTTTTCCAAATGTTAAACCATCCGGGAAAGTATCCAGGAACTCTGCTGCATTTAGTGCAGCAGCCCTAGAATTGTTCATTTGGAAGTTTTTCAGACCTGTCTCCTGGCATCTGTCACCGTGTTTACAGCACTGCCTGAGGTCAGCTTGACGGTGAATGTGCACCTGCACCTCGGCTGCTGCGCGCGGAACAGGCGGCAGCGACTCACCAGCAGCTCTCCAGGTACAATTTGAAATTGTTCCTGGTCTGCCGGCTTTGCTTGCAGATCTGTGGATGAGAGCAGCATAGTGGGTAGGAAATGTGCTATCTTACATATTCTTCAACTGAGCAGAAGCTTAGGTGGGGCTTATATATGCTGTCTGTAGCTGTGGAAGGGGGAAACTGCCTCTGGCCTTGAGCCATCTCTCCATGTGAATATAGGGAGAGACAACTCATCTTGAGAAGGCCTGGTTGCTGGAAACTTTTTTTTTTTTTTCTGTTTTAAAGAAAGAGTAACTAATTGTTAATTGTCTAAAAATATGTAGATTTAATTACGAAGTAGTACAATTTATTACCAAATAATGTCTGTAATGTGCATCAGAGATAAGCGAGATACA